TAATATTTCTAAATTCCTAACATAACCATATTCTGTGGACAAGTATAAGGATTCATCATCTTCTGAGTGGTAACTGAGAGTGGCCTGTACTATAGCATAGACTCTAACACTTGTCAATTTTCATTATAAACTACAGTGCAGAAAGGAAAAAGCTTCACACAGAAGGACTTGAAGTTTCCCTAATATTTTGATCAATAATGTACAACTATATGAACTGTGAAAAAATAGTTTGGACCACCTCTGGGGAAAATAGACCTGTTCTGCTGTAACTGTTTTTCTAAAGAGAAGAAGCATATGATATTAACACAGGTATAGGAAAGAGAGGGCAAAGATATTTTCAAAAATAAATTTGCAGTTTTCAATGAGAAAACAATAGTGGTAGCATTTATATTTAATACTTACTTGTGAATTATAGATGTTGTAAGACAGGAAAGGAATGAATCCTTCTAGATCCACCTCACCAAGGTGGATAGCCTAGACTTAGAGAGAGATCTCTGACCTGACAACCCTGGGCTATCTTTTCAATGACTGGCAGGAAATAAACATAATGATGACTTCATTCATCTTGTCCTAGACTAGGCTGAATAAAATTTGTCTTAGTAGCTTTCTAGACACTGTGGGCATGTCTGTACAGTGTTTGGGTAAGTTTAAGTAAGACAAAGTCCATCCCTCAACTGACAGCATCTTCAGAGTTAGATTAAAAGGTTAAAACTATTTAATTTCCTTTTATTAGTTTCAAGTACTAAGTATGTTATTTACAATTCTTTACAAATTATCTGATCCACTGAGTCCAAGAGTCAAGAACAGTTTATGAATCTTCTATTCAAGAACTACAGAGGTAAAATCCTGTCCTTTCTTGTTAATAATCCTGATTACAGAGACAAATTCTTTTTTCTCTGATATTTTTCTGAAGCTACTTCTACACTGTTGCTAAGGTAATTTAAGTTGACTCAAGAAAAATAGATAGATAGATAGATAGATAGACAGACAGACAGACAGATAAAAACACTGTGTGTGCTTAAAAAGTTGTTAAGCAGTTGGGTGCCACTACAATCATCAAGTGTCTCAGTTAAATACCTTATCTCTTTCATTAAAAAATGTAATTAATGTCAAGAAAGATTTCAAATATAGCTAAAGATACCAAAATATCGGAAAATGTTACTCATCTGTGAAACAAAGGATACATGTGAGGATATAAGTTGACTTTCAGATGTATTTTATTATCATTATGGAAGAATATAGGTTAGTTCATAAGGAAAAGTGCATCACAGAGAAACTAAACTGTCCTTTGCATCACAGTTTACAGCAAAGAACCATGAAAGTATGGTCTTACTACTTATTTTAAGGTAATAATGATAAAGAAGTGACAAATAACCGGTTGTTAAAAGAGGAATGGTTATGCAAGAAGCCTCTAGAACAATTTAGCTAGTCCTCAAGTATCAACTGGAAAGAGAAAAATTTCAGTGTCCCATTGAAATAATGGGAGAAATAGGAGAAATGTCTCATGAAGATTCAGCTCCATTTCAGGTGATGCTAAAAATAAATCTGTAACAATTACACTGTGGGTGAATAGAGTAGGCTCAAAAATAAACCTTAAAGTAAGGGTGGTCATAGTTGTCTACTCTGTTAGATTTTCTTTGGCATAGCCACAGAAGGGTGAATAAAGAAAAAATGAACAATAAATCTCAAAACCTGGAAAAAAAGTCCTGCCAACAAAAGGAATAGAATGACTTACACAGCATATGCTTGATGTTGGTACAAATGTGACACTGTGCAGCTGATCACAGCAGCTTTGTAGGCAGAGTAATGTTCTGTTGTAGAATGCAGGCTAACTAAAGAACATCTGCGTATGTCTCTACATGCTTCTTTTGGATATAAAAAAATGAGGTTACCACTGAAGATGCCAAGGATGTGGTTCCATTTGCCTTTTCCTTAACCACTATGTCATTTTAGGAGGTCCTTTCACCCTTTTCACTTTGTTGCCAGCTAGCTCAGCTGCTTGTTGGACGACATGTGAACCTGGTCGTGATTTGATTTGAAATCAGATTAACTTTTTTTTCTTTGATTTGCAGCATTGTCAAAGACTTCACAAAGCCCACCCATCTAAAACCCTTGCACAGCACCTGTGTTCATATTTCAGCATACTGCTGAATTTACCTCAAAATTTCCTGATGGGATGAAAACTTCTCTGTTTCTTTTGTAAATAAGGAAGTGAAGTACACAGATTTGATTGACCCTGGGTCAAAGTGAATCTGTGGCAGACCAGAGGACTGACCAAAGTTCTCCATCACCTCAGTACAGTACCATAATCACTGGACTCTCAGGACTGGTTTGTTATAGATATATATCGAAACTTACACATCATATGAATATAAACAACTCTCTATGAGAGCTTAGATGCCTCTAGTGACTAGATAGGGGTCAATGTTTCTTGCAGCAGCAGAAATAGCTGACACCTCTCCTCTGGATCTTTGTTCCTAACCCACACTCTCATCTCAGATGAGCTTGTTCTATTTTTTCATGAAAAGATGACAAGCCACATTTAAAAAAAAAAAAAAAAAAAAAAAAATAACAACAAACACCAATCAAACAAAAAAAAACTTGCTGAGGTGGGAGGAGTATTATTCATTTTAGTGATGACCACTTCAGAACTATCTGCTATGAGGAAACACAACGAATGTCACTAGCAGAGCCAGGGAGGCAGGAGGTGTACTAAGACACATGGAGGACAGGGAGGTGGTGCAAGACAGCCAGCATGGCTTTACTAAGGGCAAGTCCTGCCTGACCAGCCTAGAGGCTTTCTACAATGGAGTGACTACATCAGTGGAGGAGGAAAGAGCAATGGATGTCATCTATCTGGACTTCTTCAAGGCCTTTGACATGGCCCTCTACAACATCCCCCTCACTAAGTTGGAAAGATACAGACTTGATGGGTAGACTGTTCAGTGCATAAGGAATTGGTTGGGTGGTCACATCCAGAGGATAGCGATCAATGACTCGATGTCCAGATGGAGATGGATGACAAGTGGTGTCCCCTGGGACCAGTACTGTTTAATACCTTCATCAGTGATACAAACAGTGGGATCGAGTTTGCTCCCTCATTAAGTTTGCAGATGACACAAAGCTGAGTGGTGTGGCTGATGTGCCAGAGGGATGGGATGTCATCCAGAGGGACCTGGACAAGCTTATAGAAGTGGGACCATGTGAAATCTATGAGGTTCAACAAGGCCAAGTGCAAGGTCTGCACCTGGGTAGGGGCAATATTTGCTATCAATCCAGGCTGGGGGATGATGTGATAGAGAGCAGCCCTACAAAAAAGGACTTGGGGGTACCAGTAGATGAAAAGCTGGACATGAGCCACCAATGTGCAATGGCAGCCCAGAAGACCAATCGCATCCTGGACTGCATTAAAAGAATGTCAAAAGTTTTGGTCTGCTCAAAAACATCATTTCTTTTGGAAACAGTACTGCCAGCTACATGATCAGATACTTTTAGGAACGTAAGGAAAAAGATGCTTTCAGCTTGGACTGCAGTAAAGCTTGGACAGGAGACAGTCACTTGTTTTCACAATATGGTGGCTTCTCAGTCATGTTTGGGAGTCTGTGTTACACATGTAGGGAGCTTTAAGGCTAACTGGGGAGGTACAGGTAAAAGTAAGTAGTAGTGGAATTTAAGCTTCATGAACCACATTCATGGAAAGCTTTGACTCAACCTGTCATGATGATAATAGTTAAGAAGAGCTACTATATATTTATAACTTTCTGTGGGAGATGTCACCTCTTGATGAGGAAGAAACAACACAAGGATTTAATTCCCCACGTTAATCCAGAACCTGAACAATATTCTAATTTAAGCAAGCTGTCAACTTCTGCTTCGGTTTTATTTTGGTTTTACATTAATACATTAATGACACATATAATCAGGCCTGTTTCCATCAAGTTTAGTACAAATAAAATTCCCCCTATCCCTGCATCCAAAGTGCCAGAATGGATTAGCAACCATTTTCAATTCAAGATCAAAAAATCTGCCATTCTCTCTTCAAAATCATGACACTTCAGCAGGGACTAGCTTCAGGAAGCAATATCATGGTTAGGTTGCAATCACCCAGCCGCTACATGGAAGAAAATGGCGTACAGCTTACGTTAAATACTTAGGCCTTTTTAAGTCAACCAAGGGTTAGAGCTCTTAAGATAAACAGGAGAGAGAACTTGCCTTGCTCATGGTTCTAGACTTCACATTCCGTTACAGACTGGACCTTAAACAGAGGATCTAAACAGAGGACACAGTAGCAACGGTTTATGTTATTAACTTTCACTACATCATTTTGTCTGAGTTGATAAAAGAGTTGATTAAATCTCAGGTCTATCTTCAACATCTGTAATGATGGTAGATATTCCTTATGGCTCAACACAAATAAAATCATTGCTGTCTTAAAGGAGGCATGTGACTGCAAACAACGTGCAGCTGGATTTACTAATAGGTGGCTAAAAATTACTGAAAGAGCTTGCAGAGATCTGCATGATTTGAGCAGTTATACAGTCTTTCCATAGAATGGATATGTGGTATTCTTTCTGTGTTTCCAGGCATGAATGGGACAGCCATTGAAAACTTTGCCTGTGTCATTTTTAATGTTTCCTTCATGAACTGCACTTGGAATGTCAGCAGGACTGCTTCAGAAGATACACAATACTTCCTGTATTGGAAGACCTCTAGGTAAGTAGGTCTGCTTGAATCTAGGGAATTTTGACCCGTGACAGTATAATTATCTAACTGATGCAATATGTCATGTCAAGGAAAGAAGATTTCACAGGATGCCAGAATTACATCAAAGATTATTGTGGAAGGCACACAGGATGTAGATTCCAAAATGTGACAATAGAAAATAAGAGAGCTTATTTCCTAGTAAATGTGTCGGAAAGTGGAAAAACCATTCAGTCGTATAAGAAGACAATTGCTCTGTACCAAATTGGTAAGGATTTTATTTTTATTCAATTTCATTTCCAGTGATAAGGAAATGAAGAATTCATCCCTGGAAAAAATGATATATTTTAAAAATATTGCTCCTCAGAAGAGCTTTTATATTTTATTTTCCCAGCCCTGATAGCTGAAAAGTCAAAAGTATAAGAATGAGCAAAAACAAATGAATGCAGAGACAATCTGAAATCATAGATCAGATAATTGTGAACATTCCAGTCAATATTTATTCTGTGAAAGAAAGGTGTCATCTTTTGGGATTATCTAGCTATGAATGCTTGAGTGGGACTATCCACACATTGGTCTTTTGTCATTATCTCATAATTCTGTTCATTTACATTATCCAAAAGAAACAATTGACTTAACACTGTGAGCAAGTTTTCATTTTTTTAAAGGAAAAATTTTGTTAATTTCATAAAAAAAAATTATTTCTGTTTAATATGAACACAGTATAAAAAAAAAAACACCCTGCACAGATTATATTATGAATTCAGTAAAATCTATCAAATGGTTTATGCTTTTTAATTTTACCTACTGTTGCTGCTGATACTCCAGGCTCCTCAAATGGAGTGTTAAATGAGGGAATCCCGCTTCTGAATATGGGCTGAATACAATAATTCTTGTAACGCTGCTTTACATCTTTTTAGACCAGTTTCTTGTATAACTACCTGTATTTTAAAACAGCAAAGACAAATGATTATTAATCAATTGTATTTCTAATTGAATTATTGTAGAAAAACTCACTCCTCCATTAAATGTCACTGTGAACTGTACAGAAGCTTCTCACGGTTGTGAAATTTGGTGGCAACCACCTCGTACAAGTCATGTGAAAAAATGTTCATGTTTCAAATATGGAATAATCATAGAAAGCAAGGTAAGAATAATTATTATTCCTAATAGTATTTTGTATGCTTGTATTTCCACACAGACTTCCATACAACCAAAACCCTGTTCCCTCTCCCTACTTGACTAATCTCTCCTTTTTGGTAAGTATTGCCCCTCTTGCAGGTGAGCTGAGGACTGTTGCCACTCACAAATAGGGGCAGCAAACTGAAGGAATGTTTTCAGTCCACTGCACAGCTGGTCCTTAAAGAAACCAGGCAAGGGATTCTCCACACTGAGAGTGAATAGCTATTCTAGCACTTACAGGGGAATGGACCATGTTACCTAATGACTTTATTATGAACAGTTATAGGATACATCAACTGAACTCTAAATAAACTACCAAAAATGAATAAACAGAAAAAAAAAAAAAAAAAAAAAAAAGAACAAAAAAACGCCCAACCCTACTGTTAAATTGCATACAACCAATTTTATGTGTTCCTGTGAAGCAGTTTGGGTGGGTCCTAGTGTAGTCTTTCAGCCCTACTGCTGGGTTTTGATGAGGTTAGATCGGGACCTCCTGTTCTGTGGTTTTCCTCTCTGCAGTCTCCCATTCCGTAAGTCACTTTTTAGCACGCCTTTCACAGACTTGTTTTGCATTTGTTCCTACTTCTTGTAGTCATCACTACTGCTCAATCAGGTTTGTGGTATTACTAAACTAGGCCCAAAGAATTAACAAGTGCTTTATTAGGAAGATGCACCTGTAAGTTAAGATGTGCTGCAAGACCTTTTAGATATCTCCACTTGGATCCCCATAGTTTCCATCCTGCCCTTTGTCTATCCAACATCGCTTTCTCTTCCTGTTGCCTCCATTTACTGACACCAGCATGATGTTACTGAAGAAGTCTAGGAGTTTGGGTTTAACTAAAGTACATCTGTAGCTTACATAATTAAGGTTGTTGAACCACAGCTGTCACAATTATATGTATACCATCTGTTTATTGTGGGATCTTATTAAGTTCTCTATCCTTTCTTTTAAGTTAAAGTGAAAAGAACCATCTACATCTTTGAATAAAAAGAATTATTCAAGTTATTGGAACAGAATATCCAAATTTTCCAGGTCTGAATTCTAAATGGTTTTATAAATCACTTCAGTAATTGCAAGTATTTTGAAGACTTGGTTGAATATAAAAAGTAGTATTCCATGCATCAAAAGTAAAGTTTGAAATATTTGTGAAAATATTTGCAAGTCCTTTGTTCCAATACTAAAAACTAAAAAGTATGAAGACATAGCATAGTTAAATTAAATGTTTAAGAGTGTAAAAAATACATAGATAAAACTTTGAATGGAAAAAAAAAACGTTGTCTAAGTTTACTAGGCTTTTTTTAGATACTTTGTTTTGTACAGGTAAAATGTAAAATTATTTGGTGGGCAACCTGAGCCTTTTTTTCAGTTCTTTGGTACTCAGTTCTGCAATCAAATTTAAAAAGTACATTATTTCAGAGCACCATTGGTAAGGATAAACCTTTCAGTAGAAGAAGAGCTTAATTTTGCAGCCTTTGAAAGAAAACATTTAGAATATTAGACATACAATTATTTTTTTGCTGAAAATCAAACTTTCATAAGGCAGGACCCTTTATTATATAGTAACAAAAGACCAATCACAAAAATTAAAATTTTCTCTTGTTGCTAGGCTGATCCCAAGAAAACCATCAAAACCGCATCTAAAACAGTAAGTCTTTATCACTATATTAATCTAACCTTTCTGTTAGGTTGAAATTTCATCTATATCAGAGCATCCTCCATCCACATTGTTTTGATTTCGAACTACTAGTTTTAGTATACTGTGTATGCTCATTATTGACAAATTTCCTAAACTCAAAGCTTTAAATAGTTATTTGTAAAACATGGCAAAAAAAACCAAACACCTGCACATGTGGAACTTTATATTACTTCTATACAAGTCACAAAATCTTCCATTTTACAGTCTTTTGTCCTTCCTACCAAATTCATATATATGCAGAAACATTGATCATAATTCTACATTACACTAGACACATAAGATGTGAAGAATTTTTTCTTTATTAATGCTCTCTGAAAGGGGTTGAGATGAAGAAGGCAAGAAAATATCACCTGAAGGATTAAGCCAGTATAAAAAAGAAAGAAAAAAAAATCAAATTTTCAAGAAGGATTAATATTCTTCTGAGAAGGATTTCAATATATGTCAAATTTTCCCTGCTGTATCATCTGGCTGTTAAATTCTACTTCGGTTTTGAAAATATCCACATTAAGGGATGACCAATTCTTTAAAGAATTACCTTCTAGTAACACATGTAATTTACAGACTGAAAATAAACTATTGTTTGTTTTTTTTCCCAACATCTCATTGTTTAGCAGAGGCTAAGGAGCCACTGAAACGTACTGCAAATTCAATCTTCATATCACCAATACAAAAATGTTCAAACAAAAGGAATTAGGATGGAACAGGCTAATTTATTAAAGAGTTAACTTTCTATTTGTCTTTTTCACCCTAGTCTGTTCACAGAAGTATATGTCAAAATTTCTTTTGTAACTGTTTGCATCGTTAAATGAACCTGACACTTTCTTAATGCCTGTACATCTAGTGAATAAGAAGTTGACAGTCGAGTTGGTTTGTATTTAGGAGAGAAACGTCACAGGAAACTCCTACATATTTGAGAGCTTCAGTGCAGAAAAGAGGTACAGCATCAAAATCAGAGCAACTGACAATGGTTGTTTAGTGAGCACAAGCTGGGGAGAGTGGAGTACACCTGTAGAGTTTGGTAAGAATGAAAATAATTTCCTTGATCTAGTTTTCTCTCAGTTACTGTCTACCTCATTTATTACTTCATACTTACAGATGTAAATGCATAGATATTTTGCACTTTTGTTTGCTAGGATGGAAAGAAACAAAGAATTTTTGTACCTCTTAATAGGAAAGAAGTCTCCAAGCATTCTGGTGTGATAGTGGGTGCTTCTTGCAAGGAGATAGTGAATAAAATAGACCTTTTTGAAATCTATTGCCAGATCTCTTCATTCTTCCATTCCTTCTTCTGGCATTATGAACTTCTCTCTTT